GGCGGGGGTCCCCCCTTCGCCTCGCGGCGCGGCGGTAGCGCGGCGGGCCCCCGAGAGTCCCGGGCGCGTGTATCCCTCCGCGTGGAAGGCCAGCTCTCGCGCCGCGGCGCCAGCGACCTGTCCCGCCCGTCCCGCCGCGCCGCCTCGGAAAGTAGTCCGCGGCGCCGCGCCCAGCCCAGCTACGCCGCGCCACGCCGCGCTACGCTACGCCACGCCCCGCGCCGCGCTGCTACGCACTGCGCGCTAACGGGCCGCGGTGTCGCGGTCGGCGCCGAGTAAGCTGGGCGCGGGCCTCGCACTCGACCCCGTGGCGACGGTAGACGGCGCGTACCGAGCACCGACGCTAGAGAGCCGAGGCCGAGCCGAGCCGAACCGAGCCGAGCACAGCGAGCTCGACCGCCCAGCGCCGTTGCCACCCCGCCGGCGAGAAATGTCCCTCGGTCGCGACTTACTCACCCGCTGGAGAAAATAAGACTCCGGCTCCTTTTCGAATCCAGTGGAGTGTGGATGCAGCGTTCCCATCGCAAATCGTTCATGTATCCGAGCTGGTGGCGGTCACGGTCATCCGGTGAGGACAACGCAGAAGCGCAGAAGTCACCGGATCACTGATTCGCCTGTGGCCAGACTGGAGAGGGAAAATTGCCCAACGAATATTTCGAAAGGGGAAGTCTTCAGTTTGGTCAATCTACAGAGAATGGCTCCTCCCGGTGCAAACTAAACTCTCCGCGCGATTGAAGAGAAGTCATTCCGTAGTTATTCGGACGATTGGTGAAATGGGTTTGTGCCTGACGATAGTGTGGAAAACGATTTCAAAGGCAAACTCCGCGCGCTGCCAGGCTGGCCACCCGCGCGCGGTGAGAGCGGGGACATTCCCTGCGCCGCGGGTCGAGAGGGACCTTCGCGCCGCGGCCGCCGCGCGCTCGCGCTGGCAGCCCTGCCATCACAACCGTCCGCAGCGTCATGGCCGCCGTCTGATATTGTTTGGGTTCAGTTCACTGCAGGAGGAAGGCGACAGAACATCGTCGGGCTGAGGGAAAGCAACGAATGTGATCTACTCGAGGAACCATGATCTCCTCCATAGTTTCGAGGCTTGTGATGTGAGTACGGCTGGAGATCGAATTGGTTTTTCATCAGATTTCCCCTGTTTTCTGAGCGGTGCTGCTACTTGGATGTCCCTTTTGTTGTCGTGTGTCGGGTTTCTTTGTTCTTTCTTGAGAAAAGTCTTGTTACAGTTGACGTTTCGTCATTTTGCGTTCCCCAGGCAGGACAATTGTTGATAATCGGCTTTTTTGCAGTACATTTCGTTGCCACGCAGGGTTTTAGTGATGCGAAGTAACGTCGGGTTCCGTTTGTCTTTGTGACACACACGAAATGTCTTGGTGCTGTACTGGTCTATAAATAGTCATTGCAGAAACTTGGTTGGGATCTAAACAAAGACAGCTTTGCTTAGAGATCAGAGTTGAATTCTGATCTAAACCCGTGACCAGTCAATTTGTTGGAAAAGTAAAATTGCATAATTCATTCATTTCAAAGGCGTGTAGGTTAGGAAATTTTGACAATAGGCATTCATTTGTCAAATTTTCTGTGCACCAGGATTGTCTTTGTACTGAGGGCTGTGTTTCACAAACTCATGAATGTGTGTTCCCCAAATTGGCTCATTCGTAACTACATGAACTTTATTTCTGACAGCATAATAATGGCATTAAGTATAGGTTTCTATTTGTCTTATTAAATATTTTTACATTATCTAATATGGTGCAAGAGGTCACCAATTTTCGTGATTGAGTCTATGACTTGATTAGTTTTGTTTGACGAACCCTTCTCTGGTGCCAGATCTAAACATAAGGCAAGAGTCGAGTACAAAGGCACTCTGTCTCGTTGACAATCAATGTTAGCCAATTAGCTGAAACGCCGTTACAGTGGCAAAGACAGGTGTGTTTCTTCAGTTAAATATCAAAGTTCTTTAACTTACTTCATTTTAGCCACGTTGGGTTAGATGTTAAATATTTTACTGTCATCCATTCGGCACTATGCTACCTCCAATTTAATAAATTTGA